CGTCAACTTCGCTCGCCCTTTGATTTTATTATTTCGTAGAGAGAAGACTGGTACACGACTGCGCTCCGTGTAGCCGAGAGACTGAATTGCTCGATTGAATATCCCAGTCACTAACGGGTGATATTCCGATCGAACGTGGCCCGTAATCGAGTTCTTCGGTCCCATTCGTTGGGCGATGTTACGATGCCTTCCGTTGCTTCCGCGGAAGATCTCGAATTATCAGAGGCTCGAATTTATAATATTATCGGAAAACACTCGCTAGGAAATTCTCGAGCGTCCTCTTATCGCGATAATACGTTACCCGTTTCGTGGATCGAGATGTACCCGCCCTTCCCCCCCTCTCTCAAACACCACCTATGCATAAGCATCGGGCCATTGGCGAGATTAGAGACGAGAGAATAAAAAGCAACGGAGTTGGCATCCGGTTAAGCCGTAAACATAGTTTCGTATTTATTCAAGAGACACGGTATATCGATTCAATTTACGTAGGACCGAGTTTTCGTAAGCTGGGTGGTAAGAAACCGAGTTCCTGGTTGGCGTTCTGCCACAATGGCAATACGTCCGTGGCCATACGTTCTTTTCTTTTTTTTTTTTTTTTTTCTCCCCGTCCCCCGTTTCTCCGTCCGCCAAGTCTTAGGCAAATAACGGGGAAAGTTTACGGGGAGGCGTGAAAATCTTGATCCCAAAGTAAAGTAACCACGACTGACCAACTCGCGCGGTTCCTCTTCTCCCCCCTCCCCTCGCGCGAGAATAAAACGAGAACTTCGAGGCGTGGCCTGGAATCCGCCTCGACTTTTGAAATTTAACCCCGGAGGAAGATCCTTTCGCGGGATATATAAGTAGTTTTAAATCTGGCTTATGCGAGTAACGTATTGTCCCGGTATAAATTCGTCGTTTTAATAGGCGGGTCGCGATATTTCACGGGAGTTGCCTCTCCGAGGCCCCACGTTACACGGATATACGGGGGAGGGGATGAACGTTACAAATAATGTTCCTCGGAGTGACAAGGCGGACAACGATTAATTTATGAGACCGCGAATACTTTTGTTAAAAGGGATTGAATAAAAGATGAGCGAGGAAAGGCAGCGGGACGAACGGAAAAAGTAGTTTCCTTTCCCTCCCTCTCTCCCCCATTCGAAGAGTCGTGTCCCTTGTTTCTTTATTAATTCTTCCCTGAAACTCGAGGAAAAATTGTTAACTTCCCGACGACGGTTCATTAATTAAACGAACAAAGTTGAGATATCGATCGAATGCTAAGTATGGTATTGAGTTATCGAGTTAGAGAGAGACTTCGATGGGGTAGTTTTCGTCGTCACGTTCGACCGTGTTATTCATCAATCATCGATCAACTTCTCGGATTGCGCGACCAGATCGTGGCGATTGTTATTTATTTTTTTTTTCTTTTTTCTTTTTTCGATATACCGTAAACAGAAGAGAGTAGTAGGAGGATACGCGCTGGTAACGCGAATCGATCTTAAACGCGTCTTGGACGTGGCTATATACTAGGGATCGTCGAATCGTTCGTTCCCGCGATGAAAATCTCCGCGTGATCTAAAGTGCTCCTAATGTATCGAGTCACGTTACACTACACGTTGCATTACACAGCGGAACTCTCGAGGTCCGCGCAATGTTTCTGGCACGATCGGTTTTAATGGCGCCGCTCGGGACCACTTTTACGCTCTGGTTGTCGATTTTCACGGTATAGAGATAAATAGGAAGGTAAAGAGAGAGAGAGAGATGGAGAAAGAGAAGAGAGAAACAAGTTTTCAAGGAAAAGGCAAGGAACAGGTAAGAAAGGACAATAAGCAGTTTGAAAATTTGAATTGTGCGAAAGGTTCGAGCGTCCCTTAAGCCCTGGAAATTCCAAGTTTCTGGTAATATTTAGAGACCAAGCCCAAACTGCAGAATTCACGATATTTCTTCCAAAAAAAACTTGATTTCCTCCTCCCTCTCTCCCTCCCAAAAAACAAGAATTCTTAAGAAAAAGTAGCAAGAAACAAGTCGTGTTGTTATATTTTATAGACAGGAGAGGAAACCGTTCTCGATATTTATTATGGAGTGTAGCTTATAGAGACGACGTTCCTTGCGTCTGTCGTCTGAGCGACAGGTACTGTCGACTGAAATTTTCCCACCGTTCGGCGAGAGAAAATCCAGGAGCAAGAATTAATTCTCCACTCGATGGGAGAAGTTGGATGAGATTAAAAAAAAAAAAAAAAAAAAGAAAGAAAGAAAGAAAAGGGGGCGACGCGCATTTCATGTTAACATGTAACAATTCTCGCGTGGCATCGTGTTCTCTCTATGACGTGGTTGTTACTTTCGGATAATTACTCGTCGTTTCTACAGCGCGGTTCATCGGGTCTCTGTCGCTGAAAGCGATAGCTAGGTGGTTGAATGATTTCCAAGGGGTGGTGTGTAGGTGGATAGGTAGGTAGGTAGGGTCGATATTCCCGTTGGCCGGACGCGCGACAATAGCAAACTTCGAGGTCGTCGCCTCGGATCAATCCATTAATACGGCACATTAGAAAATCAATTAAGCCGCAGTCCCGCTTAATCTCGTGTCCGAGGATTTGCCCGGTAACCTTCCAACCAGGAAGAGAGGTGGGTGGAGAGGAGGATCTCAGTCGGCGAGAGCTGACGGTTCTCACCGTTCAGTTCGTGCAAAAAGAGATAGGGGGGGGGGGAGGTCTCGAGGAGATCTTAACCTCTCTCTCTCTCTCTCTCGTTCTCGCTTCCTTCATCCCATACATTTTTACGATCCCGCAAAAGTCCGCTGCGCAAGCGTTGTTCGCCCCTTACGAAAATAGAAGAGGTAAATCACTTCTCGCTAGCTCTCGAGTTTTGGGAAAGGAAAATTATGCAGCGTGGGAGGGAGAAAGGGATGAAGAGCCGCGTATTTAATCAATGAGGATACCTTCGACTCGATGCGTATCTTCGGGGAATAGACGCGAGTCCGATCTTCTCTAATCATTGCCCCTTGTTGTTTTATTACGTTTGACGAAATCGTTCCATCGATAATTCCGTTTAACGAAACAGACGTACGACAGACGTTGGCGTTCGTATCAATCAATTGGTACACCTGGTAACATTTTAATCGAGAAGCAACGGATCGATAAGGCACTCTCTCTGTCTCGATCCAGTGTATTGACGGTGAGGGTGAGTGTATTCATGAGGGTGAATTTCAATGGAACTGGTTACTACCGCGAACAGCAGAGTTGCAAGTTCAGTTCCCCTGTCGCTGTACGCGGGCCGCTCTTCCTTACCACCCCGATATCTCTCTGTCTGCATCGCAGTACGCAAACTTGGAAGATCCAGCGGGTTGAGTGCATCATTACGGATTAATATCCTCTCGAGGAAGCACGTAACCTAGAGCTACCATTCCTCGTTATCACCGTCGGTTACGTCAAACGAAATGTCATTTCACGGTTCCGCCTTCAACGTCTTAGGGAAGCTTCTCCATCGAAGCTTGGTCACTTCTCGAACCAAATTAAATGGAATCGATACGGTCCTACGATCTTGTCTTTTATACAAACTTGTTATTATATCGCGGTTTCCCCTCTAAATATTTAACGTAAACTTTTCCGATTAACCGAGTAACGCTCGAAACGAACAACTTCTCTCTCCTTGGCAAAGTGAAAAACTTGGACAACTTTTTCCTCTCTTTCTCGCTGTATCTTTACCACCGTAAAGTCGAGTTCCCGAGACTCGAGATAAAATTTGAATTACAAAGATGCATAAAACGGACGATATCGCTATTTGTACCGAAGATCCGTTTCCGAGCGGTGATTCGAGTCATTCGGCTATCCGAGTCGAAACACACCTATTTTATCCCGCCGCCGTGTCTGCTCTTACTGTCGCGCATGAATGTAAAATATTCAACGGCGCCGAGTTCTCCCAGTTACGAGATGATATTCCCTCCAGACAGAGCGTAACGCCGGCATAACTCTCGTTATCATCGTCGCCGATGTCGCTCAAGAGTTTCCCACTGGCGCGATCCTCGTCATCGTCGCGCGTCGCCGTCATTCCACTACGTACGCATTTACCTACATTTCTTCCGGAGGACGCATGCCGCAGGATCGAACGGCGCACGCGCACCACCGTTCCACGAGAATACCGTTAAACCGTTCGAAGTTCGGCATTCGAAATTTAATGACGGGCACCCACGCGAGTCGGACGCGTTTCGGGCCGAAGAAAGCGGACAAGTATCCCTGGAGCGAACGTTGACAAATATTTGTCGATGGTAAACGTTTACCCCTCGGCAAAGCGAAACCTAAGCTCTAAAGACATATCGCGCTCCAAGGCTACGCTATTATACGAGTAAACTTCTACCCGGCCTGTTTGACATTCCTCGACGTCTCCGAGCAAAGACGTCGGGATTCTTTTCTCGTACGCGTCTTGTCTGCACTTTAAGCGGGACTTCTCGTTTCGTACGCATCGCCAGACGTGGCGAGTCGTTTAAAAAAAAAATCTGACCGAAGGATAATCCGGTTCTGTCTTCATTTTAAATCGATCAAAGCAATGCAATCGTAATGGCACGAGTGGCGTGTAGATACGCCATCGGTAGACCGTAGAGGTCTCTGCACCCGCGGTCTTCGTTATCCCGTACGTACGTACTTACCGTACATTTCACGAGGATACATTCCCGCAGGAGAGCAACGCGCCTGCGCTGAACGAGCGGTGTCTCTTCGTCTCTCTCTATCCGCGTATCGCTCCCTTTTCGTTCGGTTCGTACCCCTTGCCCTCTCTTCCCCCACCGTGAGGGCAGCCCGCCACGCGACCGTTGCCCCCACCAGAAGCGTGAGCGTGTGTCACGCTCCGGGTAGCTCGGTGCGTGCCCATTAGAAGGAGGGGGTAAGGGGCGCGTGTGCCCTACGCGAGGCCGTGGTGGGGAGCGCTGCGCGGTCGATGGTGGGGATGCAAGTACGCTCAACAGAGAACTCGCGAGTAGTTTCGTACCAACTCTCGCGCGAGTCGGATGACGGGTGATATATGTTGAGCTCGTTCCCGTTCGCCGCCGACGTCCTTGCTTCGAGAAAGCGATCGGATTCGAAGCAGCACGAAAACACACGAGAGGATACCTGCTCGCGGAATCGGACGCGTCGCGTATTTACTTTCGCGTTGTGCTCACGTATCTCGATCTTTGCCTCCGTCCTACGTCCATGCATACGCGTTCTCGACGTTCAGTGCAATTTCGCGTAACGTCCACATGATTCGATCGACGAAAAACGCGCGAGTGTGCAAACGTTCCGCGACGCGAATGCCGTGATGCTGCACGGCAGTGGCGGAAGAAGATCGACGGGGCCACTCGACACCGTCTCGATCGCTTCCTCCTGACAGTATGAGCCTCGTGCATCGTCCTCGTCGATGAGATAGAGTGGTATTCCGCTCCTGGGACGATGTCATTCCAGTGATACGCAAAAGTGAAGGAAGTTTCGATTCTATCCGAGTTGAGTGCGAATGTATGATCGAAACTACGTCGCGGACAAGTGTGCCCGCTCGTTGAGGAGACGCGAATAGAGTGTGAGTGTGTCCGCGACGCAGATAGTGTGCCATACTCGGCAGAGAGTGAAGAGAACCGTGTGGTACTCTGTAACACGTGTGACAGTTTCCGTGAGGGATAGAATATCTCGGGGTGTCGGGAGGTTGACCGGCGAAGACGGTGGTTTCGGACGTGGTCGTATCGTGTCTGTCTGTCGTCGGATTATATTCTCCAGTGTTCTACGATTAGTCGGTGTCCGTTGTTCAACGCCGATCGTGCCCACGTTAAGCAATGTTGATATAGTGTGCGTTAACCGTTGATTCCAGTGAACAATGCTCGGATTCCTCGCTGCCGTGGACACCACTATGGATTTCTTTATTTTCAACACAGTGCCGATGCGACGCACAACCGCACACAGGAATAACGGGGATTTTGCGAGCAATAGATCGAGACGACGCACGACCGACAGGTACGTCGAAAATTTTTGTTTAACCAACCGACAAACGCTATGTTTGTTGACATTCTCATTAGTTTCGAAGGTTACGACGATTATTGTGGTGTTAGGTCAGTGTGATGATGTGGTATTTTGAACAGGAATTCCTTTCCAAACAAGTAGCTCCATTGATAATTCTCCGATATCTCGTTCCCGGGGATATTTCGAAGCGCATGTGTGAGAAGAGAGTAGAAAACATTCGGTGCAATGAACCACTGCATGTTAACATACACGTGTCAATCGCGAGTGGAAAAATCTTACGCAATCGTACTTTCGAGGATTAAAGAAAAAACAAAACAAAACGAAAGAAAATAAAAACGAAAGACGAATCGTTGTACTTTACTGATTGACCAGGAATGGTTGAAACGAGAACAATAAACGCGGAAAACGCGCGAAAGACGATGATTTCCGATGGCATGTTCGTGTCGTGCGTGCTAAAATATTTACGCAGGATCGATATTCCACCATTGTCGCGATACGTGACTTGGACCGAGGTCGGGATCGCGTTGAGATCGCGTTCACGGTGATTTCGGGACAAGGGACACCGAGGACAGAGGGACAGGGAGATAAATGTAAGGCACGCGTCGTTATACTATCGATTTCTCTGAGAATAGGCCGGCGTTGCATACAGGGCGCGGGAATTAAATGGTGCGCGAGGGAATTTAATGCCATTAGTCGACGAAGAAATTTACGCGGTCGATATGAAAACGCGTATACCGTTAGATACGCCGGTGGCAAGACGTGCTTTAGATTGTCGCGGCCGGTGATTAATGATTGCGTTAATGCTCGACACATAATTAACGAGGGAAAGGATTTGTCGAAAACGATCTCGCCAATTTTCTTCGAGCACCTCACGCCATCTCTTCGCAAAGATACGTCTCGGGTTAAACTCGTGGAAAAGTGAAATCACGTGTACCCCAATTTAATCTCGGAAATACCGGCGAAACGAATTTCGATCGGTCGACGTGTAGAAATATCATCTATCGCAAATACCATCTATCTCCGTTCCTCCGAGATTTTAATAAGCATCGCGCGTAGATATCTCAAAAATCCCTGATAAGCTTCGGTGAAATCGTTTTTGAAAGGGAATCAACGACGAAGCTCGTATCTGAAGCATTTTATTGCTTCAATAACGAACTCACGTCGGTCGTTTCAGCTCCGTGGAAAATCCTGAGTCACCGGATTACAAAAGCACTTTCACGGAAGCGCGCACGTACAAAGATAGGAAAAGATACGTGGTGCTTGCTCGAGATACGCGCCTCCAAGTTTCTCTCCATCGTCAAAGGGATTCGGTCAAAATTTTAATTTCGTCCTTTCTAAGGGCGGGCGATATTAAACGGGGAACGTACGAGGCCGCCGTTGTAATCTCGCCTTAAAGATACAGGATTAAGCGGTTGGCGCGTTGAAAAAGCCACGAAAACTTTATGTCTTGTATAATTTCGAGACAAAAGCGGCGCACAAAGTTATACTTGCTCTCGTGGCTGTTCGCCGACGAACGTACCCCTTTTTGCCACGAATGTCAATGCGTACCACCTCTGCGTACCACCGAATTTGCCTAATGCTTGAAATCCTCGTGACCCGGTGTCTCGTAATCCGAGCGTGTATTTTAATTGGCTCACCGCGGCTGCATTTTTGGTGACGCGACATGATATAACGTCAGAGAAGATGTAACCACAATTTTAACCCCTTCGTTACACGAATCTCGGCTCGTTCCCTCTCTCTTCCTCTCTTTCTCTTTCCATTTTCCACTCCTCTTTCCTTTTTTCTTTTTTCTTTTTCCAACGCATGCAACATCCAGCGTACATCTATCGTAATCCCATAGTTTTAATCGTATCGGTGGAAAATAGTTTTCTTTTTAACGATGGGATTTAATCGCGCAGCCAAATTTCTGCATAAAATCGATCGAACAAACGGACAACCCAATTTTTCGCGACCTCTCGTTTTATCGATGTACCGGTGCATCAACCTTTTCCATTTTTCAGCCATTTCCTTTTCTAATGATAAATAAATAATAAAAGAGAAATCGTACGCTATACCAACGGTTCGTTGATTTCCATTTCCAACGCGATTATATGAACTCTCTTCTCGATGGATTCATCGAAAAACTTGGCCTTTCTCGTACGAGATATTTACGAGATGTTACATTAATTATAGAATACAATATAACAGAAGGCTCGTAGGATTCGTAGGCATATCGACGTCGAACGTAAATAAACTCGACATTGGGTAGCGTCGATAACGAGCGGATGATACGTATTGATACGTATTATCCACTCGTTACCGCTTCAAAAAACGTCCACCGTATTTTCCGTAAATTTTGGTGAAACGGAGCGGAATGATTCCGAGTCGCGTAGCAACCGGAGAAGAGATTATTATTCGCTTTTATTTGAAAATAATGAGTCGCGTCCCGTGCTGCGCGAAAATCAACGCAAAACCCTGGTGCATTCGCGCGCGATACGCGCGCCTATCACTCCGGCAAGCATAAATATTTTCATTTTCAATCCAACCGATCGGATTCACCGCATCACCTAGTTATTTACAATAGAATTATAACGTAAAAAAAAAAAAAAAAAGAAAAAAAGAAAAAAGAAAATGGAAAGAAAGAAAAAAAAGAAAAAAGAATATAATATAAAAGGTAGAAAAAAATAGGAGAGGTCGAAAAGGGGGGCGGGGAGGGAAAGGCAGTGTGGCGCAACACAGAAACACAGTGGAGAGAGAGAAATAGGACAGAATAGGACGAATGTTATACGCAAGGGGAATGGGATATTACCGGGACATTTTAACGGCCAACAAAGACCCGTCTCCGTTGAAAATTCGAACTTGGATACGATCCTCTCGTTCCGCGAAAATGCGCCCTGTCCCACTTTTACCACCGAATACGATCGCGAGCAACGATTCGCCTGGAATTACTCGAATCGAAGTTCCAGTTTCGCGAACACCGGCAATTCCGGATCGAAAATAATCCTTTTATTTGCCCCGACTATGGTGGATATTCGGTAAGGGAACTCTTTCTCGCGCAAATCCTTTCGCGGGATCTTTTCCAGGGGCGGATCCGGAGTTCGAAAAAACAGTCATTTGGAGGAAGGAAATAAAGAGAAGGGGGGAGAGAGAGAGAATCGAAGATGGGATACAAGCGTTGATACAAACGACGAGACGAAGTTAGTCGTGATAAAACGAGGAAAAGGAAAACGGGGCGCAGGGTGCTCGAAACCGTCGAAAGTTTGACCTGGTTCCGCGAAATTATCCTTCCATTTGGCAGCGGTGCAGCCAGAGGCTTTCTCCTCCGGTTTCTGTCGTAAAACCGACGAAAAGATGGTGGAAGCGGCATGCATGCACGCGTTACTCGGGATACGAGTAACCGGAGAGGCTTGCATTTCGTTTTCGAAATGAATCGAAATAAAGAGGCGTGGCACGTAATATTACGTAACTTGACAATTTTAGAATGGTTCGAGATCGATAGCTCGTCGTCTCCTCGTGGCTCGCTTTTTACCTCTATGATGATCTATCGATAGGTAGATAGACGGTAGGTAAAAACGAATCCACGACCGCGTCTTCGAGACTCGAGGCTATCTCGTGTTGGTATTCGACGAATGAACGATGGTATTCCACAATGGAGAACCGTCGATCGAGGATACCATTCGTGTCGTTAAACATCCCTCCCGTTTCGAAATTGCAACTATGCCAGATGGAGGTGTAATGGTAACACAGATTCAACCAAAAGGGAAAACTAGACGCGTTGCTTTTCGCATATATGTATATATATATATATATATATGCGTGCGTATTTTCACGAGGAAAGCGAATCGAGGAAAGCGAAGGAGGGAGGGGATGGGCGAGACGTTGCATAGTTTGGAAACATTTGATTGGCCAGACCGGATGAAATGTTATCAGGGATATCTAACGCGTTGGAAACTCGCGCAAATTATGCGCGGATTTGAGTGATACCGACGGAAACACCGTTGCAAACAGAAGTTGCCGAAAGTTGGAAACCGCACCGGCGCACCGATCAGCGGCTGAGAAGGGGAGGTGTTGCATATCGGAGAGAGAAGTTCCATCGCGCTGATCGAGCGCACGAAAACGTTCAGCCTGTGTTATTTTCGGTCAGCGAATTTGTGGAACAAATTTTCAAACGGGCCGGCCCCACCATCGGTTAACCGAGTTAAACGATACCGCGTTCTTTCGAGCTTTATGCAATTTCGTTCCTTCCCCTCCCCTCTACGATACGTTTTCTCAGCATCAGAATTTATGATGTTTGCGGGGATGGGAGGAGAAGTATCCTTTTCTCGCGACGTCGTCGATCGAGTTCCTTTGCCTTTCACGATCTTCCATCCAGTTTCCATCTAGTGGAAAATAAGAAAGATCCTGAGAAAGCGCGTTGAAAAATGAAGATCGCGAAACGGATGGATGAGGCAAGAAACGCGGAAGTGGATCTACGGTAGAGACATGTCGAAAACATTGACAAAGACGGCCACGTTCGAGCGAGCATTATATTATAGCGATTCGACGAGGAGGAGTGCAGGAAGCGACGAACCGTGAAACGTGGTATTGGACGAGAGAGAGAGAGAGAGGGGGGGGGAGAGAGAGAATAAGTCGAGGGAGAGGAGGCGAAAGGAGAGGAGAAGAGGGAGGGGAAAATCGGTAGCGATGTTCGGGCCGATTTGTCGGCGTAAATTCACGGCTTTGGAGGAAGTAGAGGATGATATAACGTTAGACGAGCCGGGTTGGGCTCACGAGCGAGGCCACGTAACTGTTCGGTTCGGTGTGCCAGGGTTGCCGGTGACCCAGCAGCAACCTCTCCTCTCCGCCCTCTCTTAGCCTCTTTCCTCCGTCTCTCGTGGTCGATCGATTCGCTAAAAGTAAATAAAATTCACCCCTTCGGCGTGCGGCGGCAGGCCACGCTCGTTGGTGTAAGCGTCAGTGCTGGTTGTAATGCAATAAATCAAACCGTCGATGGGGAACCGAAAGTCATCGGGCAA